GGCATATAATAATCTTCCACCTTACCTACATTAATTTAGAAGAGGTATTAAAAACTTAGTAAAGTGCAGGACTGATCGTCATGGGGACTCATGCTGGAGGCCTATGCCAACAGTGATGATAACGATGAATGCGATGTAAATAGAGTTTCAATTAATACTTAATAGCAATGTCTGGTAATAACATTGCAGTTGACATATCAATTTCAAAGGCTACCTACTTACCAAGGGTGGTAAGCCCGTGCGTGAAAATTCATTAAGTAAATTTTACTTCAAGAATTTTCAGGCTCCGAAAATTAAATCCAAATGTTGAAATTTCACGTAAAAAAAAAACAGATGAACTATCGAAATGAGTCATGTATGCAGAGTACATTTTTGCCTTATAGCAAGATAACACATAAGTAGTTATTTCGTAGTTATCCATCGATACATCATAATGTGATCCGCTCGAATATTGCAGGAATGTGTGTATGTTAAACCGATTAAGACCATAGGGTATTTGACATAAGAATGCCTTTGCTAGTTTTTTGAATTTACTTGTAACTCGCGGTTTTTGCCCACGTTGTCCGGGGGCAGCGTGTGTACACTGGCTTGCTATACTGGAGTTTTAAGTTAATCTTTAATTAAAAATTTTCCAATGAGTATCCACCTTTACATCATCATCATTAGCTTATCAACGTCCCCACTGCTGGGGCATAGGCGTGTCCAATAGAAGGAATCAATTATGGAAAATCTACCGGTGTTTCTGTGTATAACGCGCATGTCTTCATAGAATAGTCCAATTGCTCTTATTATTTTTTTACTTTATTTACTCTGTTATTTTGCTTGGATCTAGATATTTGACTACCTACTGTCGTTATTCTGAACTTTGACATAAAGGCTTTAAAACAGCCTGATGCTTTACTTGTGCAAGATTCTACGCCTGATCCTCATAGCAACTTGACAATCAGATTCTTATTTTCTCTATTCAGCATTTTCAGAGATTTGCGTGTCGCCAAAATAAATTTTGCCAACGAATATTCTGCCATCTCCTTAATATGTAGGTATTGAACGAATTTAGTTTATCCACATAGTGTTTATCTCGCCCAATTTATTATTTAATTCAGATACTTTGAATTTAAGTTGCTATTTTAGATTAAACTTATTCCTACCATTAGTACCTAGAAGGGTTAAAAACTCAGCTTAAATCATTTAATAATGGACTTAGAATTTAATTACAATGACAAATGGAATTGTACACAATTTAATGCCCTATCTATACGAACTTATACTACCATTTTCATCCCTTTTTGTGTTTTTTTCGGAATAAGATAGACATATGCTATCACGCACTTTCTTTTTGAACTTTTAAAGGAAATCTATTTCGTAATACATGAAATTGCGTGTCTTTCACCGTTTACGCAGCGCAGGCGCGGAATGATCTAAAAAAGTAAAACATTCTCCCGTTTTTCAACATTTTTCATTGCTGCTCTTCTCCAATTAGTCATAGCGTGATGATGAGAGTGATGTAGCCTATAACTTTCCTCACAAACAAACAAACTCTTAAGCTTTATTATTAGTATATAGATTAATGTCATTTAAAACACCAGAAGATTTAGCATAAAAAGGTTTTACGCAACTTTATTTAAAATCATTCAATTTTAACTCTAAACAACAATTGCGCAACAAAATCATTTTCAATCTTATTCCTAATTAGATAAAGATGATAAATAGTGAGTCAACCATCAATCGTCAAAGCAACCTTCGCCAAAATATCCACAAATCGAGTTTTAATACGTAACCAAATCATTATAACAGTTGTGCAATGAAAAAAAACCAGATCAATTGTCTTTAAGAGTTTTAGCTTCAACAAAATGTTTATTTTATAATTACTTTTAAAGACTATTCATGACTTAAGCTTTCAATATCTTGAGATTAGTCTTTTTATCTCAAATTGGATCGAAAGTTACACAAGCACGGATTCTAATACGTAATTACCAATTCTGACCTTTAACATCGTAAAAACGAAATTCTAAACCCCAATTAAGTGTTTAATAATGAAACAATAAGTGTTTTTATTTGTACCCAAATAACAATGGCTTGTTTTCATTGAACTAAATTCTTTAGATTTGTTCAAGGCTTTATGATAGTGATAGGAATTTGGTGCTCACTCATGGTATTGTGTTATTGGTCAATAATTAGTGGACCAAATTGAAAATGAAGCATTGAAAATATAAGTAATTGATTAACTATTTAAGAATACCCTAACAATCGAGCAATATTGTTAAGTAATCGAGTCTTTCATTTAAAATAAAATTTTAATATATTGATTCTAAATCACTTTTAAAAACCTATTGTAACTTTGACATTTTGTTTGAAGGTGCCGCCATCTCTGAGGTCCCGGGTTCGATTCCCGGTCAGGTACTCGTACTCCATAATGCGCTTACTACTCATCTTGGAATCTGAGCAATGTATGTGATGTTTAATATTTATTTTTTATTTACCAAAATAATTATTGAAATTGGAATTATTCGACTCGTTAGAATTTATTTTTAAAATAAACCGAATACTTAATGAGTCTTCGGTTTATTTTAAAAAGAAATTCAAGCCCTCAATATGTTAGAAAAAAAAGATCACAGTATCCCCTTTGTGACATTATTTTTTGATTCTATTATTCATAATACGTAGTGTTTTTTATGAATAATGCTTAAAAAATCCAGTTTGTTCCTAGCATTCTGAATGCAAAAGTGATGAAATAACGTAAATACATAGTGTTTTTTCTCTCTTTATAACCGCGTCAAATTTTCACTTACAGGCAGATGTCTTCCATACTCTAACTCTAATACATAATATCACATCTTTAAATTTGGAACATGTTCGTTTTTAAAAAGTTCGTAATATATCCTCTTTGTTGAACATAAACTATTTTCTCGTGTTTAATTCCGTATTTTTAATGTCAAAGCAACAGCCCACACGTAATGAGAGAAACAGATGGAAGTAAACCACAGTAAACGTATAAAACAGTGAAAGATCTTAACATTTCTTTTTTTAGTGTAGGGCTTGATATATTTCGAATGATTCATGTAATTATTTATTTGTAATGCATGCTTATAAATGTTTACAGTACACTTGATTGTAAAAAAATAGAACAATAAATATGAATTGATTGACTCTTTTTTAGAGTAGCATATTCCGAAATTTTTATGTGACGTTTAAAACGTCTTTCGTGTTTTTTCGTTAGGTAACTATTTCAATTCTGAATTTCAGACGACTGATATTGTCTAACTTATCAAATTTTTCTTAACACATACTTATAATAACTATGGCATAAATTTTCATTACATGTGTGGGGTATTTAAACTCGATTCGGCACCTAAAGGATAGAATCGTCAAGTCACACCTCCGTCAAAAATTATCCGTTAAAATCTGGGTTTATTTAGAATCATGTTAACGTTTCAAAAATAGATGGAACTTTTTTTTCGGAGTAATAGAGTAGGCCTTCAGCTGCCAAAATGAAAATGTAACAGTTGTTAAATGAAAAATTTAATTAGACCTTCCTTTAAGTCTCCTGCCAACATTTAACTGTGACCAAAGCTGTTTTTGTGAAGTTTACTACATCGCGGACGCAGATCATGATTTTAATACTTATTAGATCATTCACTACAACCGGAGCCGGATGGGGAACGTCAAAAAATATTCGCCAAATTAAAGTCAACGTAATTCATACAATTTTTAAGACACTTTCTAATCGTTATTTTGAATAATGTCTATGTTATTGTTTATTTTTTATTAGGTAAACGGCTCGAGTGTTTGAGGAAACGTTAATGTTTTTGAAAGTTTTATTGTTTTTGTAAGACTAAATTATAATGGGAAGCTATGAATCATGGTAACAGTCATAAAAATACTTACATTTTTCATTATAAACTAAAAAAAGTACAGTTATTTGAGAGTCTCATGTCACAATATCAATTTTAGAAAAACCTATTTATATGAACGGACTCGATTTATCGTAACGAAACTTAAAAAAAAAGAACAAAAGTTGTTCGAATTTCAAAACCTATGTAGGGTAAACGGCCAATTTTGAGACGTTCCAATTGTAGATCGATACTCTTTGTGACCCGAACTCGAAGGCCGAATCTTTGTATTAGCTTTAATAAGTAATTGTACACCAAACCACGTTACCAATTTCGTCATGAATACATGTTATTTTTTTCCTCTCTCGCCTCGCTCGGAGCAATCTCGTTTTCTCGAAAATAGATCTAATATGTTGAATATAATTAATTTTATACCGACTCACTTGATCGATGCGTGTTACTTGACGTTGCTTTTTTGTATCATTATTTTTAAATTATAGTGTATTACGTCAATTCGGCTAGAAAACAGAACGGAGGTTTTGCTCGAAATTAGTTTTACGCGAAAATCGCATGTTCGTATAATTTTCTCTGTTTGATGTTTCGTAGCGGCGAATTTTTTTGTTACTACTATTTTATATTGAGTAATTTCGGCTTAATAGCGTGGTACGAATATAGGAGATTATCGAGTTTGTTAGATAATACCGCCTGAGTTTGATTATTTTTATGAAACATAGTTATTTTGTTCCATTAATATTTATGTCTGCTGTTTTCTTGTTCTAGATGATCAACACTAAATGGCTGACTACGAAGACTGATTATAATATTTATAAAACCAAATAGGAAATGATTGATCCATGAAGCTTCTACCTCGGTAAGATCACCAAACGAACTCGGTAATAACAAAAACAATTTAATATTTCCAAACAATGAAGAGAAAATTTAAATTCAAAACATTCCACAGTATTCAGCTAATATTAATGTCAACAAAAGACTATTGTCTCCGATCGATACAATGTTACGTTTAAAACGAAAATGATTCACCGTTTGTTATAAATCGCAACTAAATTGTATTTAAATAAAAATCGGTACGTTCAAAAACGATTGTTTTCGCAGGTTGGACTCGTTTCAGGCGCTCGTCGAAAGGGTCCAAACACTGCAATGACTTCCGCGATGGCTGCACACCAAGAATCTATCCATGAGAGACTTCAACCGGCTGCAGACGAGCCACTATACTTGCATCATGGAGCGGCAGTGTGGCCTGATCAAGCAGATCACCAAGAGGAGCACAGCGCAGACATGTCCTACTACAGCATGCCTAAGAGGAACAAAAGAAAAAATTTCAAACCACGGTGTGCACCGAACGCTACCACATTTTCAGATGATTCGAATGGAGGCAACGGTGAAGCTAGTCCTATCAATGGCAATGAAAGAACGACGCCGGAACACACGGAAGATGACAAAGATGAGACAGGCTACGCCAAAATAGGCGTGAAGAATTTCAGCCTACTGAAAGGAGGAGCAGTAGATCTCAGCAGAAGATTGAGCACCGATTCTAACGAAAACATAGATTCTAATTACCAAAATAGATTACCTGATGATAAAAAAATTGACACTTACCAACGGTCTTATATACGTAGCTTACAAATTAATCAAGAGGCTGAGAGGGACAGGACACTGTTGAACTTTAGTAATTTACAAAACAAAACTTTCTGTGCCAAAAATCCTTTTGCTATATCTCAATTGATTAAAACTAATTCACCGCCTAGGAGAAGGGAGTCTGAATCAGATGATGAAAATAAGGGACAAGATATTAATGCTAATGACAGATTAGGAGATAACCAAGAGCCTATGGAGGTTGTTGAAGCGCAACAAAATGGTGACGCTTCCAATGCTACTAATAGAATTTTGAGGGATTACGCAATGAATACAATGAAGGAGCTACTCGGGATCTATGGTTTATCGTCCAATGAAGTTGCAGATGCTATCAGTGGACAAATAAGAGCTTTGGAAGCACTTCAAGGTAAGTTTTTACTGTGTTTTATTCATAAGAAAATCATTCAAATATAATTCTAAGTGCTGACATCAATTGTAGATAGAAGAGTTCATGAAGTGATTCTTTGTAAAAGACAAGAATTCCAATATTTTTGATGACATCAGCTCAAGCCCCATATCACAGTTTTAGTCTTAATTTCACTATAATTTTTTAACAGGTAAGCCGTTCACCCAGTTGCCTCTAAGCTTAAAGAGACGTCATGATTCAGGAGTAGAAGATGTGACTGATAGAAGTCTTCGAAGGTCCTCCTCTGCGACGGAAGATGAAGGTTCTACTAATATCACTCCGCCTAAAACACCTGACAATGATATAGAAACTCAAAGGTGAGAACAGGTCATAAAACTTAAACTAGGTAAATAGTAAGTTAGCAGTAAGTAGTAAGTTTTGTGACATAAGATGTGTTATGGAATTCTTATTATTGGAATCTGTTATCTATACTAATAACATATAGAGAAAAGATTTGATCGTTTGTTTGTTTGCATTGAATAGGCTTTGAAACTATTGGACCAATTTTCAAAGTTCTTTCAGTTACGGGTGGCTTCATCGTACATAGGCTATAATTTACGCGTTGCGAAGTCGCGGGAGAACATCTAGTATTTATTTCGAAGCTGATAGCGTAGCTAACTCGTGACAAAATTATAAGGTGTTTTCATCAACGTACATAATTTTTTTTTCTGACAATTTATATCATTATCATATCAGATTTATCCAGTTTTTTAATTTTTATCGTATTTGTTTTCTGAACGTATTAACAGTTAGAATTCAGATTCTTCTTTCAAAAATTTCGCTTATTTTATATTGTGCCCCATTTACGTATTTCATTTTTTTCAGGCAAAGGGCATTGCAAATAATCAACCAGCAATCAATGAGATTGTTTGGCAGGTCTCATGTTCAAGAAGATGATGGCAGTGGATCTGAGGATGGCGATCAGACTCTGGACTTAAGCGTTTCCAGAGATACTGATGGCCAGGTAAGTAATTTCGCTACAAACGTGACTCAACTGGACCAAAATATTTTTTAAAGAGTATGGTAATATTAATAACTTTTTTGTAGGAACAGTCCACAACGTCTAGCGCTGGCAATAGCGTTTCAGAATTTGATCAACAAAATCTACTAATGAGAAAAAATTTAGAGGACTTAGCTAATTTACAAATGCAGGTAAATATCAAAATTTAATATCTATCGTAAATATTAGACATCATAGATTGCGAAGATGCCAAGAAAATATCTAAAGCACTCATATTATAGACTATCTGAACAAGGTACCACAATATAGAAAAGTACGTAAAATTTAACCAAACGAAACCAAGAATCGAACCCGACAACCCAGAAATGACCACACTCTGCAATCAGTGTGCGTTTTGGCAAATGTCAACTTATAATATATTTATTATGTCAAATAATTATTTATTTATACAATTATAAAACTATCTGCCAGGTGATCAATAGTTACACATTTAAGTTATATATTGGTTATTTTTCAGGGTTTCTTTCAAAAGCAATCGTCATTGGATACAGAAGATTCGCAAGAACGAAAATTGCAAGCTAGTGGTAAGTATTATAATAATTTATGTTGTATATTTATAATAGCTGAAAAATCACGACATGCATCATATTCTTATAACAGATCATACTTTAACAATACAATACACTATAAACCACTTTCTTAAAATTCAAAACAACATATTTAGAGTGCAGTTTTATTTCTTTTATATGTAGTAAATGATCATTAATTTTGCTCAGTTTATTAAAATTTGCTTAGATTCCAAGTTAGGAAAATGATATTGTTTTAAAATGGAACGAAAGAAATCTGAAAAGTTATTTTTATAAATAAATGTTTTTTTTACATTTGTTATTTGTAAAATAATACTTAAACCACATCAATTTCAACAGAAAATATTGCATTACAAATTTAAATTTTTGAATTAAAATTTAAAATTTTAGTACATTGACTATACTAAAATTTGAATATTTTAAAATAAATTTATACCGAAACTACTGGACCGATATTAAAAATTCTTTCATTTACGGAAAGCTAACTTAATACGCTTGTGGCATAGTCTATAATTTATGAAGTTGCGGGAAAACAGTTAGTACGCCAAACCAATAAGGAAACAAAAACCAACTATTACGAGAAAAATACATTTGTCTTGGACTTTAAGTCTTTAAGAATAAAATTGCGTTTCTCACAGAATTATTATGTTTTATCTTACAACTTGTCTTAATAAACGCGTATGTATAAATCAGTTGACTGGAACCACTGCGGAATACGTAGTCATACGAGTTTTTGTAAGCTCACGATGCCATCTAAAATGTAAAGAGACATATATCATATTATGCCCATAAGTGGACAAGTGAAAAAAATCATCGTTCCCACATTGCGAATGTAAGCCTTTGGCGATATTTTCAATCAACCATGATAAGGAGTTTTTATTTTTATCATCAGCATTATCAGATCTTTAACGTCCCCAATGCAGAGGCTCAGGCCTTGTGGATGGTTAACGCTGGCCCAATGCGAATTGGAAGATATTAACGACTTTAAATGCAGTCGGGACTAACGGCTTAAAGTTCTTTCTGACGCATGGAGTAGCTCAAGATAATAATTTTGTGTACACCCATCCCGTGACTGACCCTTGCTGAACAACAACGATCGCGACCTCGACTACGCCACTCAATCAAATTATAACAATGCGAAGTTATTAAATTAAACTAATACATGTCTGTCCAACGTAGATAATACTTTGACCACAATGAACAATCTAGATATAGTTGTTACTAGCTGTTCCCGCGACTTTCGGTTGCATATATTATAGCCTATGGCACCCTCGTATAAAATAGCTTCCCGTAAGTGAAATAATATTTAAAATCGGTCTAGTAGTTTGGAGTACATTCGATGCAATGAAATATCCTCTTTATTATATTAGTGTAGATAAGCAGAACTATTATAAATATCATTAAAGTCTAACAAGTGATAACATTCTTATTGGCCTCTACGTTTTCGGTGCATTAAAAAAATCTTATAATATACTAACTTATATTACAAACCTGGCCGTAACTAAATTCATGATTGAATTTCACTACGATATCTTTTCATTTAAACTCACTTTTACACTTAGATTCTTTAAATGTCTCACTTAAAACATGACGGGCTTGTGTAAACAAAACGGGGACAAATCATGTGCATTTAGCGATGTTTTCGTCATCGCTAAACGGACAGTTTCTCAGCGTAGCACTAATAAACACTATTAGTGTCTCTTTAAAATAAAGGTGCTCATACACAATCCAATATTACAACATAAAATCCACAGAACATAGAGAAAGATTAGAAGTATAATGATATTAATTTAGTATGGGAACCGAGTGTCGCCTCTCCGCACACAAATACAGATTAGATGAAATGATAATTTTGTTCACTACATGAAAAACCGCCACGCGATAGGTTCGCGATAACATAAATCAAATCCCAAAAAGATCCTAAGCTAAGAAATCACACGATTAAAAACAAACTCTAATTCAACGTGATAATAAATAATTTACTTTAACATGAATGTTGAACTGTCACGTGGCTGTATATGGGGATACCAGAAGGAAAAAAATATTTTAAGATTATGCACATTTAAAAAAATTGGGGTCATCATTTTATGTGCGAACTATTAATATTAGATTTTGCTGTAACCAAGTGAATACTGAAAAATTAAGGCTTTTCCCTACATAATTTATTAAAATATCTTTTAAAAAACGCAGTACAAAAACTAAGAAAACTTAATGATACACTCTATCGTATGTCTGTGGAGTAATATAATTAAGCGAGGGAAAGTGTAAAAAAAACAAAAATTAAGAAAACAACAGAATTTTTGTATTAATTACATTAAGCCTAATTTGTACTTTTTTCTTACTGGTATCATTCCGATTGTGCATATTAGTGATGTGACATATTAGTTGATAAAATAAGAGCTTTAAATTTTGTCATGAAACAGTTCAATGTAATTCAGTTCGACAATTTTCTACAGTGGTTTGATAGTAATTATTTAAAGCTTTATTCAAATAAAACGAAATACATAAAGTTTGCATTACCTAATGTGAGGCATGTTAATATTAACATGCCTCACATTAGGTAATGCAAACTATTTACATTTATAAGTATATACTTATAAATGTAAATAGTGAAAAAGTTGAGATGTTGGAATCGACAAAGTTCTTTGGCATTTTGGTATATTGATAATTTGTCAAGTAGACTGAGTTCTGCAGCATTTGCTGTTAAGAAAATTAGACTCTTAACAAATGTTGAAACGGCAAGATTGGTATATTTTAGTTATTTTCATAGTGTAATGAATGACGTATAATCTATTGTTATGAGGTTCTGCGGCTAGCATTCAAGATATTTTTATTCTACAAAAGAGAGCTGTCCACGCTATATATAATTTACGGTCTAGAGAATCTCTCAGAGAAATATTTAAAGAAATAAATATTTTGACTGTTGCCTCTCAATACATCAATGAAAATATTATGTACGCAAGATAACACAAAAAAAAGTAGAAATAAAAATAAACTTGCCATTCCAAGTGCTTGTAATAGCCTTCTTGAATAAAGATATTTTCATTTCATTTCATAATAACTAATATGATCATTACACTAATAAATTGATCATAGCCATGTTTGTTTTACTTTATTATTCTAAATTTTATATCTGTAATAATAGTAGTAGCTACATTATTAATTGCAACGACTGGACAATAAGGAATTGCTGGTCAAGTATGAGTTTGAAAGCCGTGACAAAAAAAGTTTGAAGATAGACACAAAAGCGATAAGTACGTACAAACGTCAATCTACATATAAAGTCACATCCGATTGAGACATGCGTCTATAAACTTATGTGCAAATATGGAGCAACAAAAAAACTGATAAAAGCTGTTCTGTGGGCGGTTCTTTAAAGTGGCTTTCTTAACTCGATTTCTATAATAATAGTTTCCGATTATGAATCAGCATAATAAGGTAAATTAAATTGACGCCTAAAAATTAATTTTGTAAATTAAATTCACACCACCAACAATATTACGTTAGTTGAAAACATAATTTTTTGTTTGTATAGATATTATGTTGTTTTGAAATTCATTTGATAGGTTTAGGTCTAAAACAGATAGGGCAAAATTAATTATGTAAACAAGGCAATCCGTTGTAAAGTTATTAGGGAAACTGAAATATAAGTAATGCAAAATAAGTGAAATCCAGTTTCACCAGTTTCTAACAAGACCTATTAGGCCAACTCTTAGCTTTTCACAAAGTTTCGTTTAATTTATGTATTGTTCATAAAACGGTGATATACTTCGTAACTTAGATATTTATAGCACATCAGTAATTTTTAATATTTATCTGCGTGTAAATAATTAACCGAATCTTCGTAAAAAAAGTGCCTGGACAGTTCATTATTTCATTTGTTCAGTATCAGTTCATCTATAATTTTCCCTTGTAAACAGTATTTTTTAGTTTTATATAATTATGGCATATATTTATCGATAACGTTGTTATGAAATGATGAAAGAAAAGCTCTAAATAAATATGTTTTAGTTATCGATTACGATCCATATAATTAACAATACGATTCCGAGCAGCAGCAGCCTATCGGTACATTTCAGACAAATGGAGGCACAGCACTATTTTTTGCAAAAGTGCACAAAATGATTTACATTGCTGTTTAGTAATGGGGTCAGAAACATTGATGTTGGTTTGAGCAATCAATGTATATTTTATTTAACATTGTGTCAAATTATTACGTTTTTTATATTTTAGCACTAAAATTGTACTTACCAGTGAAAGGAAATGTTTGCATTAGTTAGATTGAATACTTTGCTTTGCTTTTTGCAAGTGATAATAGCACAAAACGGCATTTTTTATAGAAAAAATCTGTAAAATCACCACTCGACGATTGACGAACGACTGGCAAACATAAAACCGAGGAAAGGGCGTCATATGAGTAAAAGCGCATATGCCAGCGACGCGTGCCCCGCCCACTTACTACTTCTATTCTCTCTCTATGTTCTGTGATAAAATCCAACACTTAAGTGTTGGGAAAAATATTGAAACTTATTTTAATTCTAAAATGTGTCACGAATTGTTTTTTTTTTACTTTTAATCCTGGAAGTAAAAATATATCAAATTACAATAATGCGTATAAATCGACTAGGCAAATACGATCACGATTTTTGTACTTAATATTTGTTATATAAAATAAAAAATCAGTATTTATAAATGCAAAAAATAGTATGTCTCCGCTTCTGTTACTCCCTTTATCGTTTAGTTTTACTACACTTTTAACGTATATATAAAAAGTTTTCGTACATAATATATACAGTCAATATGTCTTTATTCATCGACTCAATAATGTTTATGTTAATTCAATAAGATATTATCAAAATAGGAAATAGCCACCATCTTTTTAACTCCTATATACTGCAATAAAACATAACTTATTTTTTATTATATCGAAGTAATCTCGCTAATATCGATAACAAAATTTTACCTGACCATTTTCTGATTTACAACAGCCATTATTG